AAGGCCAGACAAGGAAGAATGGATGGAAACTGACCAAGGAGAGAGATTCAACGTAGAACTAAGGAGGAATTTCCTGACAGAGAGAACAATCAACCCATGGAAGAGAAGTTGCCTTCGGAAGTTGTGGGAGCTTCATCCCTGGAGGCTTTCAAGAAGAGACTGGACTGCTATCTGTCAGAAATGGTGTAGGCTCTCCTGCATGGGTGGGGGCTTGGACTAGATGACCTCCAGGGTCACTTCCAGTTGTGTTATTCTGAGGCCGGCAGGGGAAGATGAAAATGGATGGAAACTAATCCAACGTAGAACTAAGGAGGAATTTCCTGACAGTGACAACAATCAACCGATGGAAGAGAAGTTGCCTTCGGAAGTTGTGGGAGCTTCATCCCTGGAGGCTTCCAAGAAGAGACCGGACTGCCATCGGTCAGAAATGGTGTAGGCTCTCCTGCATGGGTGGGGGCTTGGACTAGATGACCTCCAGGGTCACTTCCAGTTGTGTTATTCTGAGGCCGGCAGGGGAAGATGAAAATGGATGGAAACTAATCCAACGTAGAACTAAGGAGGAATTTCCTGACAGTGACAACAATCAACCGATGGAAGAGAAGTTGCCTTCGGAAGTTGTGGGAGCTTCATCCCTGGAGGCTTCCAAGAAGAGACTGGACTGCCATCGGTCAGAAATGGAGTAGGGTCTCCTGCTTGGGTGAGGGGTTGGACTAGATGACCTACAAGGTCCCTTCCAACCCTGTTATTCTGTTATTGTTATTCAGAAGTTGTGGGAGCTTCATCCCTGGAGGCTTCCAAGAAGAGACTGGACTGCCATCGGTCAGAAATGGAGTAGGGTCTCCTGCTTGGGTGAGGGGTTGGACTAAATGACCTACAAGGTCCCTTCCAACCCTGTTATTCTGTTATTGTTATTCAGAAGTTGTGGGAGCTTCATCCCTGGAGGCTTCCAAGAAGAGACTGGACTGCTATCTGTCAGAAATGGTGTAGTAGGCTCTGCTGCTTGGGCGGAAGGGTTGGACTAGATGACCTCCAAGGTCCCAACTCTGCTGATCTGTCAAGATACAGCCATTCATTTAGTGATCATTGGAAGCCAGGTTCCCTTAACAACTGTGTCGCTGTGCAGTTGTTCCCTTAGCAACGTCAGCGAGAAAAGTTGTAAAACAGGGCGAAGCTCGGTTTTCTCGCTTAGCAACGGAAAATTTGGGCTCAATTGTGGTTGTAAGTCAAGGACTCCCTGGATGGTCAGAGAAGAGGAGCCAGCATATGTAGCAAGTTGTTCTGACCCCAGCTCCCCAAAAACAACAAACCCTTCGAGGTGAACTCAAAAGATTCCGTAATTAAGAATTCCGGCAGTCCCGGCAAAAAGTTTCTCTCTCACCGCAGGCTAAGAAGTCTGTCAGGCAGGGAGACGAATGGTTGTCTGGCACGTCTTCATCTCCGCCCCCTGCCTTTGATCCCCAGAGCTAGGATGGGGCTTAACTAGCAGTGGTGGTTCTTCCGTCCCGAGGACCGGCCCATAGATTTCCACTGTTCTCCTCTCCTCTTCCTTTCTTTGCATCGGCGCGTCAGGAACTGGACCCAGCTGTTCTTCCTCTTCCTCATCAGCCACCTCCAGACCTGGGGGTTGTTGACGCCCCATCTGAAAGCTGATGGACAGCCCAGGATCCGCCCCCCCACCCCCCCTCTCTCTGCCAGCTCCATTCCCTCTCCCCCCTCGGAGCTCCCAGGTTACTTGAGGTTGACCCTGATTCCCACGCCTCCTCGTCTTCTGATTCGGCTGCCGGAGGGGACGGCGGCCGACAGGGCGCTACACAAATGCTTCAATCCACCAGCAGGGCCCCCAATGCTCTATTGCCACACACACACACACAGACACACACACACCACAATAGCAGCTCCAGGGTGTGCCACAGCGCCGGGATTTTCACTTGCAGCTGTAGAGCAATTAGCTAATTGGAAGCTTGCTAATCGCCTCAGGAGCTAATCGCTGACGCTGCCAGGTTAAAGCGGGCACCTCCGAAGAAGCAGCGTCTAATGAGGAGGTAATTGGCCCCAACAATTAACACAATTTGCACAGAGCGGGGGCAGGGAGGGGGGAGGACAGCTGTCACCGTACCTGCCTACAGATAACGTTGCTGGAATTTCTTTGCCATCCCATCCTCCAAGCAGCGGTGGTTTCCGAATCCTGTTGCAACTGGTACGTTGCAACTGGGCCGGGCGTCTACCACATGAACGGGTGCAGCGTGCACATGCTTACTTACCTTCCGCGACGCTCCGTAACGCCTCCGTGATGCTCCAGCTGCTCGGCGAAGCGTCGCGCCGGCCCCAAACACTCCGTGCGCGGAAGCCCCGAAAACCTCAAATACCGGAAGGTGGGCCCTTCGGAGCACCATACCGGAACGATACCTGGTGCTCCCGGCAGGCACCGGTACGCCCGTACTGGGGCGTACGGGTCGTAACCCACCACTGCATCCAAGGTACAGAGACATCCTGCTTCACCCTGCTTGCAAAGAGAGTGGGCAGCTTCACACAGCCTTACTACTCGTATTGGACAAGCGTGTTACGCCAGGCCAGGATCTCCAACCTGGTGTCCACCAGACGGAATGCATTAGAAACCCCTGCATTTTCCAGTCTGCAGCCTACAGCAGCGGTCCCCAACCTTTCCAACTCGACAGCCTGGAAGCTGCGGGAAGAGGGGATGGTTCTATGGGAGCGACAGGCACACAGGTGAATGCACATGCCATTCACACTAATGAAGCTTCATGCAAGCAGAGCTAGGGGTGCACGCATGCACTCCAGGGGTGGAGTTCAGGAGGTTTTGACCAGTTGTGGAGAACCGGTAGCTGAAACTTTGAGTAGTTTGGATAACCGGTGAATACCACCTCTGACTAGCCCTGCCCCCATCTATTCTCTGCCTCCTGAGTGCCAGCTGATTGGGAGGGAATGGGGATTTTACAGTATCCTTCCCCTGGAGTGGGGTGGGAATGAAGATTTTTGCAGTATCCTTCCCCTGGAGTGAAGAGGGAATGAAGATTTTGCAGTATCCTTTCCCTGGAGTGAGGAGGGAATGGGGATTTTACAGTATCCTTCCCC